AAAAGAATGATAAAACTTCCTTGTACCTAACCGTTTTAGAAATAATCAACATTTTATACAAAATTTGACAGATGCAAGCGTTTCTAAAATTCCTTACATCTTTCTTCGTTCTGGAAGCTTTCACTTGCTTTTTGTAACACACAAACAGCGTCAGATGCAGTACCTTCCACTATCAAAATTACCTGAAGAAAATTATACCACGTGAACCATTTCTTATATTTTATTTTGAAAATTTTTTAAATTGATTTTTAATGTAATATTCTTGAGAACGAAAGAAAAGCATGTCAAAATTTTTATAAAATGTCGATTAATTATATTAATAAATTAATCTGTTTTCGTCTTCTGCGCTGATAATGACTTTTAATTTTTAATCACTTTCCACAGTTTAAATATGTTTATTTTTAAGTGACTTTTCCAGAAACATCTATTCTCCGGGCCATATGTCTCGAATAGCGTCAGTAATATCATTAAATACAATTGGGATTATTCGTCGTCCGAAGACACCAGACATATATCAATTTTAGACTTGTTAGCCCTAATCAGTATGCTTCTCAGATTGGTCCCACAGGGTCATGCTGTGATTTTACTTTCAATACAGATCACTTTCTATCACTTTTTGCCTCTTTGCAGGTCTCAGGCAGTTAGTAGCATTGACCACTAGATGTCACTCTCAATTACATCTTTTACTCGTTTGTTTTTGGCGTTTCCGTAGTTAAATATATCATATGATGTTTATCTTTTAGTAGTACAACAAGTATCCAAGAGTGTAAACAAAATAACCCTTGACTGGTCATTTTGTCCCAAGGGTTTGCTTCATTAATTTATCAAATTTTCTCCATAAGTTATACTACTCAAAAAATAAAACCAAAAATATGTTAATTGTTATTACCAAATTATCGTCCTTCCAAACATTTAGTTGCTAGATTTACATAAAATTTTGAAAAATAATTAATATTTTTGTTATTCAGTATACAACATCAATACAGTGAAAGGAAAAATATACAAATAGAAAAAACTTTTCCGTTTTTTCAAAATTAAAAACTACACGTGAAAATTCAATCAATTTAAATTTAAGTTCGATTTAGTTAATTTTTTTTTCTTTCCAGGCAAAATTTTATTTTATTTAATTTAGTTAATATAGTCTTTCCGATCTCAATTCAAGACCAAAGAGCTATGCAGTATGTACCAGGTTCGGTCGCTATATTTGAAAAACTTGTTCCCATATTTATTTAGCCATACCCATATACAGGTCTGGTCGCCCAGTTGAAGAATGCGCGCGCGGACAAACGGCGCACAAGCACAATCACACTGGGCGACCGGCCGTAAATTTCAGTTGTTGATAAATTGCCTAGCAGTGCAGTGCAGCAATGGGGAGTTTGCTGTGACTCAGGTAATTTTAATTTATTATAAGCACCTTCTATTAATCATTGATATTACAATTGCAAAAGGCCGAAATAAGAGGGATATTTTGTTTACAAATATTATTACAACATGGCATTTTGGAGACCTTTTGAAACGCAACAAAACGAAATACCTCCAGATAATATTAAATTAGTAGAACCGGTTGAATTTTATTGCTAGGCGTTTTTATACATATTCAACTGACTTCGGAAAGACGATACAAGGGTGTATGTTTGTATGGGTGTAGATGTACATACGTCTTATGTTGGCTTATAGTGTTGAGTATTGCACCTTGTAACTAATGTTAATGCTTTGTTGCCTTTAATAGTCTTGTTAACATCAGCACTTTGTTGATGGATATTGCTGTTGAGAATATAAGTCTTCACAAAATCGAATATTTGAATGAGGAGGATTTAATAACTGAATATGTGCAATGAATCATATGTTTTATTAATATAATAGAACAAAATGACACAATATGTAAATATATTAGTGTTGTCTTGTATTTCTACTGTTTAATTTTTCATCTTAAGGTAAGGAAAGCAAGCTATACTTTATAAACTACACAAATTATACTCATGAACTTTTCACCTACCTAATTATAAAAAGTAAACATTAGAAACTAAGAGAGTGCATGTACCTTCGTCTTTCTGCAGGGTTGTGAAAATATCTTATATCTAATATAGATATGTAGTAAACGAATTATACTAATTTATAAATACAATTACCAGTTGATTGTGTATTTCTTTAACCTTACTATAAATCTATCAAATCTGGGTGACTAGTATTCGCTTATAAAATAAGACATTTCATAGAATAAGAATTTACTAAGATGAATAGTCTTATATATGATTATAATTATTTATTTCATCTTTAATGGAATATACACATTATTTAAATTAAAAATTCGTTTATACCGAATGACATTTTTGAAGAGAACTTATTTATGACTAACAAGAAACGCCGACCCGAGAATTTGTATGCTTATTAAAAGCTTTACTATTAACAATAACAAGTACTTTGAAATGATATTAACTGTCATATTTGCATACAATAAAAATTAGGCACATTCCATTCCTATAGAAACACGGTGTATACACCTACCTAATGATTCATAGCTAAATCATTTACTACAACTGTAACGTTTCACAAATCACAATCACACTGAAAAAAGAAACATGTTTGTAATAATGCCGACAAAGTAATTTTCTTAATAGTAATACTGGTAACCATAACATAAGGGAACTAGCTAAAATGTTAATGTACCTTACATTTTTTAATGCTGCTATGTTTAACTTTGGTTTTTAATTTGCTAAAATAATATGTTTAGTTTTAGAGAGAAAATATGTATAACCTATAGAAAAAAATATGACTTAAAATAATATAAGGGGGCATTAAAAATAGCGGGTAGTAAAAGATGATAGAATTTAGAAGAAAGTTGCGCTATTAAGGAATCATTGGAATAGCATAAACGACTCTCAGATGAAAGTTTTGTTTTTGAGATATAAGAGGAATATCATTCCTATCCTTCTTATCAACATTATCTAAGCTTTATACCATCATCCACTTCGTTTATTAAACATAGCTTCGTGATTTGAAATATTTGTTTATTGTTGTTATGATATTGGAATAAAACAAAATGTAAACACACAATATTTTCTATCAGAAAACAATTGAACGTCAATTTTTTTGAGAAAATACGCCTCATATTCTTTTTAATGAAATAATATATCGAACTCGACTTTTAAACTCTTCGTTTATAAAAAATATTAATTTCACCGGTATTTATTTTTGGCTAACCTTGTATATTTAATTGCGTTGCACAGAATTTACAATTACGAATCCAGCGATATATAACATGTGATAAAATTGTAATTTTATAAGCGAATTAATGGATAAAATGGAAATATTCATACACAGCATATACAGGTCTGGAAAATCCACATGGTCCATCTGCCTTTACATGAGAGCGACAAAGTAAAGTAAAGAAATCCGTGCGATAGACAAAAATGGCTATAGTGAAGACGTTTCATAATCTGAATAGTCACCGCCCGTTTCGGCTTAGAACTATTCAGATTATGAAACGTCTTCAATTATCGCACGGATTTCCATGACACTTTATCGCTCTCACGTAACGGCCGATGTACCATGGGAACTTTCCGAACCTTTATACATCAAATAAATATTTCGAAATTTCAAACAAGTAAATGCAAAAGGAAACAATTATTTTATCTAAAGAAAACGGTCATTTTTTTTAACACATCCTGTAGGATTATAGTATATAGTTTAATACTACATAATTATTAAATTATTTATTATGTTTATTAAATTGTTATTATAAAATTAAATATTATGTAATATTTAATATTTAATTTATTAGCACACAAATTTTGACATAAATATTTGATCTGGTGATTCCATATTACAGATAACAAAACAGCCTATCTTAAACTGCAATTTTTATTTTGATGATTATTTGGTTTATATATATGCAGAGTATGGCATGTTCGTTGAATTCTTAATTAAAAATACCATCTAGCGAAAAATCTTCAAGATAAGTTAAAATTAAGTACTCATCAAATCAATTTCCGGTCAAAACAGAATTTCAACAAATAGAAAACAAAAAATTATTTCTAACAACTTTCTAATATATTGCTACACCTTTTTGTGTAGAAAATATAAGATGTATTTTTCTACAAATATTACTCGTATATTTCCAGCCATATCTCTTAAATTGATATTCAACTGCTTTTCCGGTTGTATATTTTGGTTTTGCTTACATTTTCATATGCCTACATTCTGTCCAATTCAAATTACTTAGTAATGAAAGAGTAAATTGTAATAAAAAAATTATTATGGATACCTTGCACATGTTTTACACATTAATGTATCACTTATTTTCGATATTTAATACGTTATTAAACATTTTTCTGTCTCAATGAATAAACAAAATATTTTGAATTCAATTATTATAACGTAAAATTATGTATTGCAAAGACGAAATTGATGACGGTAAATCCAAAAATCGAAAAATATGAAGGCAAAACTAAAATTTCCATGAAAGAGTACAGAAACAGTTTGCGTGAAGAAGTTCTTGCTCTAGGTCTGATTGATTACATCGGAAAAAAAATAAATAAAAAATAGAAAAATTCAGGTTTTTCAAAATATTGAAAATATATATCTGAAATCTATTTAGGCCAATTGAATAGTTTCCTTATGACGCAACTTTTCAAATTTAAACTTAATCTTTCATTATTTTTGGTATTCCCAACGTTATCTTGACCACAGTATATTTAATGATGTAATGATATAATAAGTTACGGAAATAATCCAAAAAATATACATGACAAACTATTAATGGTGTACTATTGTACTCGTAATAGATTTTTAATTGTTCTCTCAAATTGCACGGAAAATCCATTTATTTTTAAGTAAAAAAAATAAATAATTTTGAATTTCGTCATCGGTCTGTCGGATGTATCAAAATAGACGCATTATTTTCACCAAAATGAAGAAATTCTAACTCTAATAGACCTAAATGAGATCAAACTTTCCCTTTTTTCTATAAATCATACACCTTCTTCTCCTAAACCACCAAACTAAAAGTCGTAATCAACCCCTAAGTCCAGAGCCGACTCCTTAATCCACGGCAAGAAGCTGGACACCCTAGTGTACACCCCTGGCCTGTTCTTCTTGGCACACCCATCACCCCAAGACACGATACCTGTAAGTTCCAACCTTCCGTCCTTCTCACAAACCAAAGGACCTCCAGAGTCGCCTCCACAAGCGTCAATACCCCCTCTGAGGTGCCCAGCGCATAGCATAGAGTCAAGGATTTGTTGTTGGCGTCCTCCGTAGATGCCTTTCTTCCTGCACGTCTCCAAGGACAGAACCGGGACCGCCGCAGCCCTTAGAACGGGGGAGAGACGGTCTGTTATCTCGGGATCGGTAGCTCCCCAACCCGATACTTCGCACCAGGTGCCTGGTGGTGGATCGTCGTCGGTGAAGCAGACGGGTTTGACGACGTCGTTGATCTTGAAGCCGGGGGATGCGAGTAGGAGGACGGCGACGTCGTGGGAGTAGGGGCCTAGTTTTCTGAAGTCGGGGTGGGGGATGAATTTTTCTACTTTGAGGATTTGTTCGTAGGGTGAGGAACCTGAAGAAGAAAGTTACATGAAAATGTAATCAATTGCTACTAATATAAATGATAATTCATCGGTAAATCTTCAGAATTAAAATAAAATGATTTTTTTTTATATAAGTACAAGTATAGTGTGGTTGAGTGAATGAGCGTACCAATCATCAAGTAGTGGAGGCATATTTTCTGATTTTAAATGCTCAGAGATATTTATTTCTCTTTAAAAAAATAATATACGAGTATATGCACATAAACATAATCTAATCTTTCGTCAGAGTACAGATAAAGTCAAAATAATACCAGAACTTCCTATAACTTTTTTTCTATAATATTCCATCTAAAGAATATACCGGGCCTCAGAAAGTAATGTAGAGGTTTACGTTTTGGGTTATAACGTTGAACCAACCCTATACATTTTGATAAAATTTTGATTTAATGCATTACGAATAAAGCTCTGTGATTTGATTACTTAACTTACTTAATGTTTTACCATTACGCGGTATGCAGAAGCGAATTGTTTCCAACATATTTTTTTAAATTATGTCAGAGGCCATGCTATCAAACTGAAAATATTATTTCTTGATACTTTGAAAATATTTTGATAAAATAACTGTTTTCAAGATAAATTTGTTTTCCAAACAGGTAGTAACAACTAAAGGTTATTTTTTTACAAATTACTATTTAGTCCATGAAATGGTTGGTCATAGCTTAAGAGAAACAAGTTAAGATTAAGAATAAACATATACATAACAACCAATGAGAAAAAGGTAAACATCACTTCGATAAGTATTCAAAAACAACTCCTCGTACTCTTTTTTTATTCTGCCAATGCTCTCCCGAAGTTCATGAAATTGAATTGAATTATGAATCTGATTATGGTTCTATGTTATTCCCCAAATTATGCAAACGTCATTAGTACTTAGTAGTATTTAGTATTAGTACTTAGAGTTATTATAAATCTTTTGTATTATCCCACAGAAAAACGTCTAATGGATTTGTATGAACGACAAAACAGGTTCACCTCGACTTGCTATCAATAAAAACACAAAAAATGAACTAATTCACCACAGCTAAAATTTCTCAACTTATCACTGTAGGATTTCAATATAGGTAAAAATTAAGTTGACTATAACTAATCCCAGTCTGATATTTGAAGCTGTGTTTTTATGTTCATTGTATTAATATTTTAAATATTTTCAAAAACAATTGAAAAATTCAAAGCTATTTTAATATAAGTATACGGATACATCTTCAGAAATATTAATTTTGATCTGAGTTATGACATATACCTATATATAGATTTAATGGTAGATTTAGTAGGTGTATTTTCTATGACAACATTGAGAATTAAAGAACGAACTCTTGATTTGACAACTTTCGATGATAATACCACTTGACTCTCAACAGCTAGCGAAATTAGTCCTTATAGTGGGGATGTTAAACAGTAAAAGCGTCAGATTTCACTGTATTGATTTAGCATTTATCCTTGAATAATTTTGTAAATATCTACATAACCTTCTCAACCATGAATAGTTGGATTATTTTTAGACGATATTTTAAATGGTGTATTCAAATAAACCACAATCTTGAAAATATCAGTAAGGGTTTGTTAAATGGACTTATTATGTTGATACTGTAAATAATAAATACTCGATAAAAGAGGGAATATGTACCTAGAGTTGAAATTATCGTAGGTAATTCTAACGTAACTTTTTGCCAAACTTGTAGATTTCTATTCATTTTAAATATAAATATCTGCAAAAGTCTTCTGAATTTAGTATTATTGAATCACATTGGTTTATATGCATATTGGGCTACAAAAAAAACGCATATACCAAGTTTTACTGAAAAGTGATGAAGTTATCCAAAAAAATATATAACAAAAACATTTATTTCATGGTCCGTACTTTTTTAAATAAAATTGTACTAAATCAACTTGATTTATGTGGGTTTATCTTCACCGAAAGTTTTGAACATCCTGTATTTAACTGGAACTTTTTTTTACAATTTTGACATGTTTTTTGAAGCAATGTTATTAGATTGACAGAACAAAATAATTGGATAGGTACAACAAATTGTGCCAAAAAGGATTAATGACCTTAATTTGTTTATTTCATGTTCGTTAGTTACTCTGGATTTTAAGTCAATGTTATGGAAAGAAAACCAATTCGACGTTTCGTTGTTTTATAGCAATATCTTCATAACACTACCTAACTATAAATATTTTATTACAAACGTAACAATTAAAATAGCCTAATCATATATTTATCGATTTTAGAGTTAAAAATTCATAACAATTTAGTTTTGATATTTTAGAACTGCTTAACTCTATAAAAATATGAATAAGTAATTAAGGTTTAATTATTTTCTTGTAAAATTTTTATTCCTATAGTACTGAAGATTTTCTAATAAACCACCGAAACGTCAACAATTATAAAGGGTGTGTTTAATTGAAAGAGCATTAATGCTACCGGATGATCTTGAGGTTAAAATACGGTTATTGGACCATATTTAACAAGGTTGCTTCATTTGCCGGTTGCAGGGTATTTATCTTTTTAGAAAACAATATAAATACACAAATATCTCGAAATATGTTTAACATATAACAATCAAACTTGGACTACTAACGACATAACTATATAAACGTAAAAATGCCCTGAATTTATATAAAATTACGTCAACCAGGGGCAGAGATACTGGAATACACTTTACAACTGTATTTAGAGAAAAAGTCCGGAAAATTCAATGGCGTATCAATATGTCTCTTGCTAAAAATTAAACATTTCTACGCCAATGATATTTTATTTTTGTTGGTTACATTCTTTTCTAAATTGTAACTGCAACAAAATAATTTTATATTACTTTTCATGAAACGAACAGTTTTTGAGTTGCCTATTTATTCGAATAATTTTATTTTCTATATACAAGGTATTTGTAAATAAGTGCAAAATATTTTAGGGGGCGCTTGCTGAAGTTATTTTGAGAAAAAAGTTCATATAAAAGTAGGTCGAAATATGCCTCGTTTCCGAGATAGTGTTGCAATTTTAATTTTTTATTTATTTTTATTAATTATTAGTTTTAAAGAAATTGACTCGAAATGTGAAAAACGCTTTGGAGGGATAAATGTGCATTTTTTGGGGTGATCCGAATATTTTTACTTGCACCAGTGGCGTTCGTGCGAGAATGCCACAACGCTTTTTCATTAAAAAAAATAGTACGTCACTGACTTTTCCCGTTTTGATATTTTTTTAGAAATCCGCCATCAATTCTGAATGAAATTGGTCCCTACAATTTTTTTAAAAAAATATATAAAACATACTTTACTGCACGTTGTATATTTTTAATTTATATTGATACATTATCTAGTAGGTTGCTGTCAATATTTCTAAATAAAATACAATCATCAAATTTCGAGTCAATATCTTTAAAACTCTTTGAAACAATTAATAAAAATAAATAAAATTTAAACACTCTGTATCTCGGAAACTAAGCATATTTCGACCTACGTTTATATGAACTTTTTTTTTCCCAAAATAACTTCACCAACAACCCCCTAAAATATTTCGCACTTATTTACAAACACCCTGTACATAGGTAATAGCGAATAAAATGAAGTTATAGAACTTACAAAGTTGTTAAACAATCTGGGATACTTAATGAGGGTATTTTCCGATGTTTACGCCACTGATTGATGTAATTGTGTACAAATTCAGTGAGCATTACCTTTATTTAATTGAGCCGTCGATTTTTTTCTACGTCAATATTTTTTCTAGATATTTACTTCTTTCTGATGTTTCTTAAAAACTTAAGCACACTGTAACTAGCAAATTAAGCAACCTTAGGCTAAGGTATTACTTGGCAGTATTTAAATACAACCTGTACAACTTTTTTTCTCTCCAAAAGATTGACCTAAAATCCAGAGTAACTGATAACCTGGAACAACAAATTGTGGCTCATATTTTAAGTTACGTGCTCCACTATTAATGCACTTAAAATTGCGGACTTAATTCATCTCACTCACTACACACTAAAGCCACCAAAAAAATCGCGCACTAACCTGGCGGACCGTGAGCGCCGGCCACGGCTGTTAAGCCTTCACTATAGCAGTGCGCGGCAGAGAGCACCAGCCTTCTGCTGATCAGGGCGCCTCCGCATTGGTGGTTCTCCCCCATCCTCAGCTGCACTTGCCACGGCACCGCCCCCAGTGGCGGCTCCTCGCCGCCGATCACCCTGGGCTCCCTCTGGGGCCGCCACTGGACAGCCCTGGAGCCGCACACTGTACGGGGAAACTTGGGGAATCCGTTCCGATCGCCCCGGGGCGAGAAGGCCGCGACGCCCCACAGGAAACAGACGAAGGTACAAGCGCTGAGGAGCTGCATCGCAAACAATCCGCCGATCCTGGCCCTCCGCGATCGTTTTATGCCCCGGCCTGGTCCCACCACCGCCGAAATTCAATGTTATTCGGTGATAAGCGGCGGAAAGTTCATGTTCACGCGGTGCACTTGCATCTGTCGCGTTGGGCAAGAGCGATGATAATTCGCGCGCGCTGTTATGTCACCGCGTCCCGCACCGCTCAATTGCGCAGCGACACATATAGATATTGGGCCACCTTGGCCCAACGCCGCATCTCACTTTCGAATGGCCTAGTTGCTGGAAGCGGAACGGTTCTCGTCGCCGAAATTGAAACTGCTGTCGAAAGTTATTGCGCTAGTGGAGAGGAATGTGCGCGACGCCTTATGTCGTCGCGGGAGGATATGCAAGTCGGGCCTCCGCGGTCCTGGGTGAGGCGGAAACTGACCACTGACCAGTCTATTTGGTTAATGCATTCTACCCATTAAGGATGTTATGAGACCAATGTATTCAAACTTATTCCTAAACGTTTGTTTTCATTGCATGTAAGCGCATGTGATACGTATGCGTCTTCTAATGATGACTAAAATAATGCTATAAGCAAAGAAAATGTATTTTTTGGTAGCGAACAAATTATTTATGTTATTCTCGAATTAATAGTGAAAATTCAAAAATCAATAAACCTCGAAATTTTATTATTGACAGCGACACTAGAGACTTGAAAAATATCCATGGATGAAACTTATAGTTCGTATACATCGAGTCTTTGTTAGCTATTGCAATGGGAAGTGTTCTGTCCAGGCAATAAGTATTAACACCTTTGGGAACACGCCAAGCGAAATTGGTTGCTATCTACAATTGGCCAAACCACAGTAGCTTTACTCCATTCTTGCAGATGAAGGAAGAAATATTTAAGGTTGAAGAGGTATCCTGGCTGGAAGTAATTGATGGTGACAAAATCTTACGTAGAAGAATGAAATGCGATAACAAATCTGCACAGAGAGCATGCAAATAAAGAAATATCAAACAGTGCAGCTGCTATCAGCTATCTACTACATTGAGGAGTAATGAGATGCTTAGAATTCTTATTCAAAATTGTGGTTATCAGAAAATAAATATAATAAATATACACATTGTTAAAAATAAGTAATAAACGAGTTATTACTGTTTACACCATAAAAAAGATAAGTATTACCAGTCGAAGACGATTTTGCGCCCGAGCGGAGCGACAGCTGGCAATAGAGTCCGAGACTGATAAATTATACTTAACTGCTGCGTGGTGTATAACATTTTAAATGCTCCCACAGTTCTTTATGGCTCATGAAATAAGGATTAGGTTTAATTTTTTGACATTTCTTAATCAATTCATTTTGACATTATTCGAAATCTTGCAAAGTCGCCTTGGTTGTTTGGATTTTGTCGTTTCTAAGGTGTTTATAAACAAAACTACATAAAAGTTGCAATTTTGCTAGTTTTGAATTATTATTTTTAAATGAGTGATTTTCAAATAGAAACTGCAGCAAATGCTGCCTGAAAATTTGTATTGCCCGAGAAGTCGAAAGTGCGCTACGGACGAGCATATAGAAATTTCAAAAAATGGTGCGAGAACAAAAATACTGGAGTTCCTGAAATGTCACTGCTAGCATATTTCATGGAGAAGTAAAGAACTTAAAGTCACCGACGAGTTTGTGGGGTGAACAGTCAATGATTAAAGTCAACTATTTTCATAGAGGAGAACGTGAATATATCAAAATATCCCAATATGAGAGCATTTTTGAAACGTAAGAATGATGGCTATACACCTAAAAAGTCAAATGTTTTTACAAGTCAACGATTTTCTCGTTCAGGCACTCGATAACACATATTTGCTAATGAAGGTGGTGACGGTCTTAGGTATTGGAGGAGCATGCTGTGCTGATGAGTTACGCAAACTTACTTTAGAAAACGTCAATTTCAAAAAGTTGAAGACATTATTGTTGTTACAATTCCAGATCCTAAAAATGGTATGTCACGTTTACAATTACTTCTTGTCTGGGTTCTGTTTCTCACCTAGAAATTCTCAAGATATATCTGAAGATTAGATTGGAAATTAAACCTGAAATTTCACGCTTCGAAGCAGGTAGACGTTACAGCCAACTAGTCAGCAAGAATACCCTTTCTGTGATTCGTAATAAGCTTGCACAGTTTTTGAAACTCGAACATCCTGAAACATATACATTCATTCCGAAGAACATCGGCAATGTTACTGGTTAATACAGGAGTTGATGTATTAGCAATCAAGAAATGGGTGGAAATCGGTCACAATTGTAGAAAATTATGTTGCTGACAGTAAGTAACAAAATTGAAATAACCAACAGGATTCTTTACAATGACACTTCAACTCTAGGTTCTAGTAGTACGCCGCATCATGCTGTTCTAATGCAGTTAGATAATATTGAGCTTCCAGTGACTAAAATGGAGCGGTCAAATCATTTTGAGAAAAATGTGTCAATTAGAAAACGCGAGGGGAATAATTATCCAGATTTTATAAATGTTACTAAATGTAATAACTGTACAATTACTATAAATATTCATTCTTAATAATTAATAAAATGTAATGTTCATCAAATATTTCTATTAATTTGTTCACAAAATTATTTATATTATATTAAGTTACCTCACTTACCTTCTATTTACTATAGTGGGAGCAGATAAAATTTATGTTATATTTGATGGTCTATGATAGATAACTGAAATTGTGCAATAGAAGCTAGCAATAAAAAGCTGTTATTGCAGAGGTTCTTATAAAAGCCAATTTTTAAAACAGCTTTTATTAATCATTCATAAATACTTTGTTTTAAAATTATCCTTATTATATGCAACTACTTTCCGTAATAGTCGAAAATGAAATGATTCCAATGAACCAGGAATATTAGAATTATATATTTTACTAGCGGCCCGTCCCGGCTTCGCACGGGTGGTCATTTATTTTAAACATTTTGGGATATAAAAAATATAGCCTATGTTACTCAGGGATAATGTAGCATTCTAATGGTTAAAGAATTTTCGAAATCCGTCCAGTAGTTTTTGAGTTTATTGGTAACAAACATACATACATACAAAATACAAATCTTTACTCTGTCAGTACTTTTTATTTAAATTAGCTAAAGAGTAAATGAAAATTCAGTCCAGTGAAAATAACGTGGTATGTAATTTCTTCTTTATTCTATTTCACTTCTGTGAATTGCTTGTTAAATTAAAAAATAAATATTAATGCACTCAATTTCGAAGTTGATATTTTGACAAAATCCGATTTAGAAAATCTTTTGTTATTATTATAGGTTAAATTCACGTTAAGGATGCGAAGATAGAAATTTATATTCAAATTTCAACTCTTAGCATATACACTAGATCAAGCGATAATAAGTTTTTTCCCAGAAACTTCAAATACCATGTAGGGTGTGTCAGTTTAAATAACGAAGTCAGCCTTAATTAAACCGTAATTCTATCTTTACAAATTCTCTTTTGGCTAATAACTAAAAAAGTCATTTGCGTACTAAGAGATATGCTTCGAACTTATTGATTAATTAATACGATTAATATATGGCTTTTTAATGTGGAAATTGCATTTCAACTTTTGAAACAAGGTTACAGAGATGAAGCTCTTGGTCGGACGCAATGTTATGAATGGTTTCACGATTTAAAAGTGGTCGTCAGTCAATTGCAGATGATTCTCGGACTGGAAGGCCTTCAACATCAATTGAAGATTCCCACGCTCAAAAAGTCAAAGATCTGGTGCGTGTAAATCGCCTATTGACTGTAAGAGAAATTGCAGAAGAAGTTAGCATAGAAAAATTGAACATACATCGAGTTGCAGCAAAATTTGTTCCTCGCTTGATGACCACACAACAGAATGAAAATCGTGTTGTCGGCAACTCCTTGAATAATATATAATCCAATGACGATGAAACATTCATTCAAAAGATCGTAACGCTGGGTTTACGACTACGACATTGAGACAAAAGTTCAGTCATCACAATGGATTGGCAAAGGATCTCCACGCCTCAAGAAAGCACGTCAGTCTTGATCAAATGTCAAAGTAATGCTCACGTTTTTTTCGACTTTAATGGAATTGTACGTTTTGAATTCTTGCCTCAAGGTGAACCGTGTACACCATCAAGGTGTTTTATAATGGTTACGTGAAAAAATCCGTAAAAGATGTTCAGAGTTGTGGCAAGACAACTCATGATTCTTGCACCCGCACACTCAGGCTTATCAATTGTCTTCCTTCACCCTCGTTACTCGCCAGACCTGGCTCCTTACGATTTTTTTCTTATTTCCGAAATTCAAATCAATGCTGAAGGTATGCCGTTTTCAGACTATTGATGACATCAAAGGAAATTCGTTACAGACTTTAAAGGTCATCTCAAATGAAGCTATCCAGGACTGCTTCACGAAATGAAACACCGCTGAGAAAAGTGTGTGAATAGAGGAGGGGAGTAATTTGAAGGAGACAAGGACCAATAATGTGTAAAATTAATAATAAAATTTGAAAAATCAAGTTCGCTTATTTTTTGAACAGACCTCTTATCTAAATTTTTTACATTGTCAGTTCAAATTTAACTGAACTGTCAAAATTTCATTTTAGGTAATAGTTGGATGATTTAATTTCAACTCTTTTTAAAAATTCCAAATTCTACCCACTAAAAAAATAAAAACGAAAATTATCAAATTTTCGTCTATAAATTCAAAATGAAAAAGATCAATTTTACTTCGGAAAGTTATTGGTCATTAAATTCTGCAACTCTGTTCTAAATTTAACCAATTTCTTAATATAAATTTCTTAAGATCACCAAAATTGCAGTATTGCGATAACAGAAACTTATTGGCTTATTCTTTTCTTGGAATTAGAGATTTTAACAGTTACAACCTAGTAAAAATGTTATATAATTATAATAAACAAGTTAAAATTATAAAATACTCCGTTATTTGGGGCATGGAAAAATTCTTATCACCTAAATGTGTTAAAAAAATATTCTGTGCTCACAAA